GTAAAAGCGGTTGATACAATGAGGTACTTCCGAAGGCGGTCGATACGCACGCCCCTCTGTATGGACCCAAATTATCATTGACAAAGTCTGTTAAAGCTTGGCGTCTATAAATTACGCATCACTCTTAGGCTGGAGGGTTTCGGCCTTTAGTGACGTGATGTGTACGAGTAGTAGTGTAGGTTTATAAAGTTTTTATGACAAACTTTGGCACTTTACGTGACAACGTTTATAGATGACACAAATACGTATTTGTTACTTTGTACAGGGCAATAAGAACGTGAAGCTGTGCAAGAATCCCATCAATATGCAATGTCGAGCTGTAGGGACAAAAGCACTCATCAGCAAGTCAAACACCAACGGTATCAAACTGGACAAAGCCTGTGAGAGGAACGCCATCACCTGCAAAAACTACAAGCAATCTAAAGGTGCCGAATGTCCAGATTACGAGGTCCGTTTCAAGTGTCCACCTTCATGTGAGTTGTCTTATTTAGTTTATATAAAGTTTGTATTTTAAATTTATATAATTGTCATTGTAATAGATTAGAATACAACGGACACAGAAACCATGCAACATGTAGCTGTCTTTATTCGAAACCGGAAGACACAGACAATAATACAAGGGACATCACCCAAAACAACATTATAAATATAAGACTAGTACAAGAAGAGTGAGTTCCCTTGACTTCACAATTCTCAATATATTACATCCCTTTACCCTTAGTAAACAACAACACAGCTCTCAATAGAACAAATGATAGTATCCTAAAATCACCAAATATATTGTAACATGAACATTATATGATTTGAATCATTTGGTAGATTACACTCTTACGAACAATTGCAAAATATGCTACAACATAATTAAAATACAAAACAATGATGTCAAAGTCCTTTTGACCTTTAAAATCATAGGTCTAACTTATCTGGGACTTTGATTGTCCTGTTTGACCTTCTCAGTGGCTTTTGATTTGGTGACTCAAGATTCTGACCATCTGGACTCTCTAGCTCAGGAAGTCCAGGATCTAAATCATTAACTCCAGAATTTACATTTTCTGACTCTAGACTACTTGGTTCACTCATATCAACAGAACTTGGTTGTGGAACAAACTGAGTTGTTGTGAACTGTTCAGATTTGGTGGGATTGATAGATTCACACTTATTATCTGCACACGTTATTTTTAACTGTTTTTACTTTATAAGACACAGGTCCTGTACATTGAACAATTTGACCTGGTATCCATTTTTCCCCTCTTCCATAATTTCTCAGATACACATTATCATTAACTCCAAATTCTCTTTCAATGGATGTTTTGTCATGATTTAATTTTTGTGTATGTTGATGTTGGGAAACAGACCTTTGAACAGTTGGATGTAGTAGGTCAAGGTGAGTTTTAATTTTCCTACCACACAGCAATTCGCATGGTGCAACAACTGTTGTTATATGAGGAGTTGTGCGGTATTTGGCTAAGAACCTGTTTACTCTTTCCCTGAGAGAAAATTTGTTACCGGTACTCATTTTTACCATAGCGGTTTTGAATATGCCTACCGCTCTTTCAGCCAAACCATTCCCAGCAGGATGATAGGGTGATGTGGTTATATGCTCAATACCATTTGCTACACAAAACAGTTTAAACTCATGAGCAGTGAAACTAGGCCCATTATCTGAAACAATTTGATCAGGTAATCCATGGGTTGAAAATATTTCCTTAAGTTCAATAATGGTATCACTTGCAGTGATTGTGTTCATGATTTTAACTTCTAACCACTTAGAATGTGAATCAATAACAATTAAGAACATTTTGTTCATGAAGGGTCCTGCGAAATCTATATGTATACGTTTCCATGGTTCGATTGGCCAGTCCCAGTTTTGCAAAGGTGCTGTAGCTGGTTGATTTGAATGTTGTGCACAGCTTGAACACAGCTTTACATATTTTTCAATATCAGCATCCATATGTGGCCACCAGAACCACGATCGTGCAAGACTCTTCATTTTGGAAGAACCAAGATGAGTATCATGTAAAGTTCTTAAAACTTCTTTTTGCAACATTTTGGGGATAATAACCCTTGACCCCCATAGTACTCATCCATCTTCTAAACTTAACTCTATTTTTCTTATTTTATATGGCCTTAAGTCATCATTCACTGACTCTTCAGGCCAACCATTCTTACAGTACTCATATACTTTTATCAAGCACTCATCTTTTTGTGTTTCTCTTTTAACATCATTCACATTTATATTGGAGTTATCCATGATAGTGAAAAGAACAAATACATCTTCTGGTACATAACTAAGGCTTTGGTTTTTTTAAAGGTAAACGACTAAGACTATCTGCACTATTCTCAGATCCAGGTTTGTATTTCAATTCATAATTGTATGCGGCTAGTGTGATAGCCCATCTTTGAATCCTTGGTGAGGCATGCTCAGGCAGGGGTTTGTTTTCCCCAAACAAACCTAGCAATGGCTTATGATCTGTAAAGATGGTGAACTCCCTACCAAACAGAAACTTGTGAAATTTCTTAACACCAAAAATGATGCCTAAGCCTTCCCTATCTAACTGAGAATAATTTTTCTCAGCCTGGTTCAAAGATCTACTGGCAAAAGCAATGGGTCGGTCACCCTTTTCATCTATGTGGGATAAGACTGCTCCTACACCATCTGGTGAAGCATCATATGTTAAGATAAGTCTTTTCCCCGGGTCATAGTGAGTTAGTAAGGTGTCAGAAGACAAAGCTTCTTTTGCTGCATTAAAAGCAGCATCTTCTTGTTTACCCCAGTGCCAAGTTGCATTTTTCTGCAGCAGCTTGTATAGTGGTGATAGTTTACCAGACAGATTCCCTATGAACTTCGCATAGTAATTTATCAAGCCCAAAAAAGCTCTTAGCTGTTGGGTATTTTCAGGTTTGGGTGCTTCTTTAATGGCTTTTGTTTTCTCAGGTTGAGGTTTGAGACCTTGTTTGCTTCAAATATAACCAAGAAAACTAATATCTGTCAGCATGAATTGACATTTATCTTTGTTTATCTTTAAACCCTTTCCACCAACTATTTTCAAGACTTTATCAAGTGTTTTAAGATGTTCAGTGTCATTCTTACCAGTTATGTACACATTGTCAAAGTAAACACAAACATTTGGAATATCCTTAAAAATACTGTCCATGACAGTCTGGAAAATTCCAGGGCTGGATGATATACCAAAACATAGTCTTTCATATTGGTAGAGTCCTTTATGTGTGTTTATTGTCGTATAGACTTTTGAATCTGGATGCAGTTCTAGTTGAGTGTAAGCATGACTAAAGTCTAATTCGGTGAATCTGTCTCCTCCTGCCAAGTTCAAAGAAATTTCTTCAATGTTAGGAATAGGGTACCTATTTAGCTCTATCTGCTTATTCAGTGTAGCTTTATAGTCTCCACAAATTCTTACAGAACCATCCTTCTTTAACACTGGCACAATGGGCGTTGCCCAATCGGAGTAGTCTACCTTCTTCATGATGCCATTAGATTCCAATCTACTTAGCTCATTTTCAATTTTATCCCTCATTGCATAAGGTGGAACTCTAGCTTTGCAGTATCTTGGATTTGTGTCTTTAATGCTTATCTTCACTGTCCTATCATTTAGTAATCCTGAACTACCAAAGACACCTTCATTTTCAGATATAACTTTATCTATTGAAGTAAAACTAGATTCTCTTGCTTTGTTCACTGAAAATATACTCTTCCAGTTTAACTTAAGATCAACTAACCAGTTCCTACCTAGTGATGGTGGTCCATTTCCTTCAACCACAAGAAGAGGAAGTTTAACACTGACCATTATAGCTTACATGAACCATACACTCTCCTATCACTGGAACATTGTCACCTGTGTATGTTGTTAGGCACTTGTGACATGGTTGTAGAGGCACTGATCCTCCTGTGACAGCGTCAAAGTCCTTCTTTGTGATGACGGTTAGAGATGCTCCAGTGTCAAGTTGGAAGATGATGCTCTTACCGTTGATACAAACTAGTATGTTGATGGGAGCATGACTTGTTGATTTCACAGAGAACAGGTTGAACTCCGGCTGCGAATCAGTTTGAGCATTTTCACTGGTAGAGTGGTTCATTGGTTGGGTTAGGCTGTCTTGGTGAGAGTTAACATAGTGCTGCCTTTGGTTGCGGTACTGTCTTGACTGGCTAGATCTAGCAACAGACGAAGACTTTGCAAAGCAGGCCTTGGCAATGTGACCTTGCTTACTGCACTTATAGCAAGTCGCTGACTTGAACTTGCATCGATGAGATGCATGGGGATCGTTGCATCGATGACATTTTTGATAATTATTACTAGATTTAGATCTAGGATTTGAACTTGCAGGCTGTTTAGCATAAGTTGAAATGCTCTGATGGGGTTGGTGTTTGTAGACTAACCTGCTGTCTACTGCATGGATCCCTGAGGCCGCCAGCGATCTGGTCGCCTCGGATGACTGCTGGAATGAAGTTGCAAGTTGTATTGCTTTTTCCAATGTTAGATCTGACTCGAGAAGCAACTTCCTTTGAACATCAGGGCTGTTTACACCTGTCACAAACTTTTCACATAGTCTGTCGGACAGCGTGTCCCCGAATTCACAAAATTCACTTAGATGACGTAAAGCAGCAACATATTCTGATATTGATTCGATTGGTTGACGAGTCCTACCGTCAAATCTGGCTCTACACAGGAAATTGGATGGTGCGGGCGCATGGTGGTCTGTTAGCAGTTTGCTCAGCTCGTTAAAGCTCTTGGTAGTTAGACTAGCTGGTGCGCATAAGTCCTTTAATAGCCTAAATTGTTGAGGCCCTATGACTGTTAAAAAAACAGCTCTCTTTTTGGCTTCTGTAGTCACGTCGTTAGATTCAAGGTAAAAGCTTAACCTATCTAGATAATCATGAATGGTTTCATCATTCAAATTAAATTCTTTTATTTGGCCATACAGCGCCATTATCCTAGAAATACTTAGCCAATATGCTCTAGCAAGCTTCTTTTTAAGTAAGCATGTGCTCTTTTTCTGTGGATGATCCCATCCTCGTCGCCAGTTGTAATAGATTAGAATACAACGGACACAGAAGCGATGCAACATGTAGCTGTCTTTATTCGAAACCGGAAGACACAGACAATAATACAAGGGACATCACCCAAAACAACATTATAAATATAAGACTAGTACAAGAAGAGTGAGTTCCCTTGACTTCACTATTCTCAATATATTACAGTCATGTCTTCAACGGACTTTCATTCTTTAAAAATCATAAATATTTTAAAATTATTGCATATATATAAAATTAACCTTCTGATTGGTCAGCGACAAAAATCTGAAAATCTCATCAATATAAAAAGAAGTTCAAAGATACAAATCCGCAGTGATATTTTAAGGTATGATCCTGTATCAATAACTAAACGATACAAGGATTGAATGACAATGTGGCCGTGCTGTACTTGACATATTCTGCTCCCATCTTGCAGTACAAAAGGACTGTCCAGTGGAAAGTTTCAGACAAAAGTGTGAACAACAACGCAAGGAATGCGTCCAGACACCACTTGGTGGACTTTGTGTGAAGAAGAAGAAGAAAAAAACCGGCAAGGAAGAAATCGGTACAAGCTCATGCACAGTCAACACCGTTACTTACAGTAAGTTTTTATAACTCTAGTGTTGCAGAGCATATCCCCGGCGTATCGCACGTTTTGGTATCCTTGTGTTTAAGAAAACATTTTCTTCCTATTTCTCATTTGATTGTTAGAGCTCTACGAGTGTTCATCCAGGGGCGACCCTCACTACAGAACACCAGACGGCACCAAGCTGGACTTCGAGGGCGGATGCTCCTACAATTTGATGAGCACCTGCAACAACTACCCAGAGCTTGGTGTCTTCTCAGGTTTTAGGTGAGCTACTCATTACGCTGTGGGGAGCACGGTTTGGGGTATATATTTGATTAAGAAAGGATGGCGTTGTCCGATGGTACAGCTAACGAAGGCTAACCGAAAGTCCAGTCTCAAGTCCACCCAACACTGATGGGTATCTGACTCAGGTTGGGAAAACAAGGCTGTTGAGCATAGTGCTGACCACACTATTCCATTGTATGCCGATGACATTGAACTCGATGGACTATTTTAAATGCCCCATGAACGGGAAAACATGGTGTCAGTGATTTGTCAAAGAGGTTAAGCAAACGAAATCATATTTTTAAAAAAAAAAACGAAAACAACAAAATGATATCAACACATTTCATTGAGGGAGGATATCATTTGGCAGCCGCTACTAATCTCGTTTAATGTTCAACCCCTAGTGTCGAAAGGATTTCTTGCACGTTATTTTATTAACACTCCCGTTTACTGGAAATTCGACAAATTCGATAGAAAGCTACGTTTAGGATCTAATTCTTAAATACAAAATTCAATTTACTTACCTTACTCGGTACAAAATACAATTATATGTAATCATTAATCTTTGATGAAATCAATTATTTTTTCATCTGGCATAATATAATATTTGTTTCATCTGCTTTATTGTATCGCACCTTGTCTGATCCTTTGTTCACCTTCATTACAGTATTGTCTCCCCCAACCTTCGCGAGTACCCACAAGACAAGTCGACAATCACAAAATCCTTCCAGTTTGTCGTCCAGGATAGAACGTACTTGTTCACTAGAGGCGAATTCATGGTCAACAACGTAAGTCCCACACCATTTAGAACTAGGTCTAAAGAGAAGATAGGCATGATCATGTGATTTTTTAATCATGGGCATTTAGTCGAGGATGGTATAAAAATAGCATGTCAGTAACGGGATATATAGCCTATCCATATATATATATATATATATATATATATATATATATATATATATATATATATATATATATATATATATATTCCTCAGCTAAAACGTAGTCCTGTGGATTATCAAGATAATATTATAAAAATTGTGACTGAGCTCAAGGGTAATTCCTACCAGCTGACCATTCATACAGATTTTTGCCTGATAATTAAGTGGGACAACAGGAACGGTCTCTACGTAAGTGTCAGCTAAAGTCTGCTTAGCAAATACAAATATTCTATTTTTCCAAGAGATTTTAAAGTGTTTAAGATTTTTTTTCTTTTAACTGGGTGTAGTATAAAATTCAAAAATAGCATAGCTCCTCAACAATTTAGCCATTGATGTTTTGTAAATTTCCCTTTAGGTCTACGTCCCAGAGGTCTATAAGACATACGTCTGCGGTATTTGCGGCAACTTTGACGACAATCCCAAAAACGACTTGACCATCCCAGGTTCAAACAAAACGGTGTCAGCTGATGTGTTGGGCAGGTACCACATGGTCGGAGGCGTGGCTGGAGAAGGGTAAGAATATATTTCTCTTTATTTCCATGTGGTAGTTTTAATTTCAGAATCATTTAGGTTCTTTCCTTTGTTTTGTTGAAATGTAATACACGTTTTTTTTGTAGAAATCTAGTATGACTTAAATTGGATTGGTTAAATATGTATAGCGAACACTTATACGTAATTCAAAACTCACACTAAATTTAACCATACATAAAACTAATTTGAAATTTAACCAGAGTTCGTTTATAAATTTTTAAAAAGTTGAATGCAAACGAAAAACTTCATAGTAACATCAGTTTGTTGTTCCACGTGCTGTTATGATTTTGGTCGACAGTTGCACCGACACGACCAAAGTACCCGAGCCCTGCTCAGCTGAAAACAATGCCAAATTCTCTGGGAATGAATACTGTGGAATCTTCAAGAGTTCCAACAACGCTTCACCTCTTGTCAAAGCAGTGGTGAGTAGGTTAACTTATTAAAATGAGGCAAGTGTGTTGATTTACAGGATTAAACATTTTAACAGTGTGTTTTAATTATTGTCTTAAATTATTGTGTGTGTTGATGTCTTAAATTAAATTTGATCCTAATTAAATTTTGACCCTGTGTTTTGACACCTTGAATTCACATGCGATCAGTGTGTTGATAATTGGGGTTAAATTTTGGTAAGTTTGCTATTTTGTGTACAATTTTGGTCAGCTTTTATTTTTTTTTGGGGGGTAAAGAGTTGTCCATGGGTGTACATTTTAGAAAATGGTTAATGTGTGTACATCTTTTCGTGGCCAGTGTTATTTTATCTTCAAGATATATTCTGTCTTTACCTTGCTGTATATTAGCAAAATTGGCAATACTTAATTTAGTTTAACTTTAAGCATATGGAATAGTTCATCTATAAATGGACTCGACTGGTCGAATTCCCGTTTATACCATAGCTGTCTTCTCAACAGAGCCTGACTTTACTGCGATTTAGGGTCGAAGTGGAGTCACTGAACACCGAAACATCAATCCTGTCACTACATACCAATCTCTTTCAGACTAGCGGCTCCGACGATTCTACTCGTGGCAACAACTTGGAGAAACTCGACGAATACTTTGAAGACTGCGTCATGGACCAGTGCCGGAGATTCAACTACGGCAAGAACGACAGTTGTCTGGCCCTGGGGTCCAGCGTCCAAGAGTTGATCAAGCAGCTGAACATTAATGATGAGAACCTCCATGAGAATTGTAGAAGCTTCGCCAATTGCCGTAGGTGACCTAGAGACTGCTACAAACACGAGCTTTGCTAAATCGTTGTAACTCGTACATTTTCGAAGACTAATTTTTGCAATTGTGTATACTTTCGTATAGGGTATTTGCCTAGGTAAAATTTTAAAACCCTGTAACCAGGAGAAACGGTGGTTGATAGTTTGACGAATTTCTAAAAGTCAAATTCATTTGTAATGTCAATCTTTTTTTTTTACTTTTCCTTAAGTATTTGGATAACATTCTCCAACTTGGCTTTTATTTGTCGCTTGTCTCTATATAAAAATTCTTAATACTTTTGTCTAATTTATAAGCTGGGCCTCACAAAACCCCATACTCGCCTAGTGTGTAGGAACTCATAATGTAGTGCCTAACGTTAAAATTCAGATTTTACTTTTAAGGGGGAAGGCTCCGGTAAAAAAAAACTTTTTTAATACTCGTTAGAAAACAGTTATTTCTTTACAGCTTTATTAAGATACATCCGCATATGCATTTCCACTAAAAAAAAATTTGAAAAAATCTTGGTAACTATGACAACGGCGGCCATCTTGAAAACTAATATCTTCAAACTAATTTTTTATGAATTTTCAAAATGTGTGTCTGTTCAAAACACTAGTTTTAATGCCCCAAAATTCCCCAAAGTTAAGTGTTTTGAACGGACACATATTTTGAAAATTCATAAAAAATTAGTTTGATGATATGCAATTAAAATTTTTAGCTGATTGCCCCAAAATATGGAAGTAGATTATGAATTGATTGTTTATTGGGCTTAAAATGTAATATTTTGTGAATGGTGGAAAACCTACGAAGGGGTTAATTTTTCAAGATGGCCGCCGTTGTCATAGTTACCAAGATTTTTTCAAATTTTTTTTATAGTGGAAATGCATATGCGGATGTATCTTAATAAAGCTGTGACGAAATAACTGTTTTCTAACGAGTATTAAAAAAGTTTTTTTTTACCGGAGCCTTCCCCCTTAAGACAGTGGATCATGTACTATGTTTCACATGCTTGAAGTCCTGTTATTGCTAACACATCACCGTCTCACTGTTTCATCCCCCAGCCAACAACTGCGGCCGCAACATGGAGTACAAGAAGTCCTACCGCCCCCAGTGTCAGGACAGCTGCAAGGAAACCCACAAGTCAATCACCTGTGACGATCTGAACACAGCCTCCGGGTGCGCATGTCAAGACGGGTTCTTGCTGGACGCTGACCAAAACTGTGTACCGGCTGATGACTGCGATAACATTTGTACTGTCCGGACCGTCAACTCGGCTTTCATGCTCAATGTAAGCATCGATTTTATACTGCTAACATATTTACGATTTAAAAATAAGCGGTTTAAAAGTTCAGTCAAACCCACCAGACCTTGAACTATGTTTTTATACAATGGGCCCTACTTTAGGCAAAAACTGATTGGCTTTTATAGGTAATTCACATCCAAAATCTCGTTTTAATGTGATCGTTGATAGAGATACGTTAACTCTATGTGGTAATGTAATGCTAGTATAACGTTTAGAAAATAAAATATATGCTTGTGTATATAAATAATACATTTCCTCATTTAGAACATAAAGGAAATTTCAACAGGGCGAGCACTGTTGTTTCAACACTTTAAATTTAATTAATAAAACGATATGGTTTCTACATTTACTTGCAACGAATGACACAAGTCGTTTCGTGTGTTTCACCTACAGGATGGCCAAAGCTCTTTTGTTGAAGCCTGTAGCAAGAAAATCACATGCCAGAAAGGAACAATCAACGAAACCAACCTTGGACCTTGCTCAGAGAATGCTGACTGCGTCGATGGCACTAAATGCGTGTGCAAACAAGGCTTCAAAGGAGACGGCAGAGAGTGTAAGATTGTTTTCTTGAAAATGGCCCATCAGATTTCACTTATACAATCAGATTAAAGATGTTTATCCTACCTCTGCAGATTACTATTTCAAAACTGTATTTTAAAGTGGAGTGTGTAAGATAATTTTTTTCCGAGTTGTGCAAAAGGAAACTCGGTTTTGCAAAGATTTTACTCCTCCTGTTAAAAGCAGATTGGGGTTTTGTTGTCGCTTTACTACACAATAAAATAACTATATTTGAAACATCACTGACTCTATTTTATTGTTGAAACATCCCTGACTCTATTTTCTTGTTAACACAGGCTTCGCTGACTTGGCTTGCAAGCCCGGCTTCTACCCAGCTGGAACTAAGTGCTACCAGGTCAGGTTCGATAACTTGGACTGGCACAGCGCCGCTTTGGTCTGTGGCTCACAAGGTGCTCAGTTAGCCAGGTGGGTTCTGATGAATGTCGTGCATGTAAGTAAGGTGTCTGGGATGCTGTTAAGTAAGTCGTGTACTCTAGAATGGAATGTCGTAAATGTAAAGAAGAGGGGGGGGGGGGGTCATCTAGAGTGTTGTGGAAGATTGCAGGATAATCTTGTTTTTACGTTGCTTTCTTTAGTAAAATATTAAAACTGTATATTTAACTTATTTTTAATTATTATAGAATGGATAATGAAGCTGATGCAGGTCTCGAACAAGTACTGAAAAAGATTCCAGAATACAAAATAGTCGCAAGTGGTAATTATTTTCATCATATATATATATATATATATATATATATATATATATATATATATATATATATATATATATATATATATATATATATAATATATTAAAAACAATAACTTTAAAAAATTGTAGTATACTTTGTAAAAAAAAATCCGAGGCTATATCTTTATTAGTCTTTATCAATCCCCAAAAAGTGTAGCATGCTTCGTTAGAAAAAAAAAGTAATCCAACATAAAAACTGTGTCTATATCTTCAGCAACTTCGAAAATTTTGAAGTGCGGCGTAAACAGTACTTGTGCCGCGCCTAAGAATGAAGTTATACTCAGCATCCGCGCACTTGACAACTCGTTCAGTAAATCCTGCGATGGCAAGTTTGTTATCTCAGGCGACAGAAGCCAAGTCACATGCAACTGCGCGGCTAAAACGTTCATCATATCCAGTGTTGAATGTAAGGACGTTTGATTGTTATAGAGAGTGTCGATTGTAAGGTGATTATATTATTATAGGAAGGGTTGACTGTAAAGGAAAATGTATTATTATAGAGAGTGTTCAACGATTCCTCTTAAAACTTAGCGATCCATTGGACAGATGAAGTAAAGTTCATGCTTTTTAACCTCGGCTTGTGAAGGATGTGTGGTCAGCAATAAGCTCAGTCGCCTTTACTTTCTCCAAGTCAGGTACCCGTCAGAGGTTAATGGACTGATGGACGTCCTGCAGTCACAAGTCCAAACCAAGAACCGAACCTGAGACCTTCAGGCTAGCAACTAAACTCTCTACCATTCGATACACCGTCCCATCAAGTACACAATATTGAGTGCTATTCTATGAACAATTGGCGCTCACCAACATCCTTGTTTAGATTCCACAAGAAAAGTATCTTAAAACAGCATAACTAACAGTAACTCCACCGATATTCTGAAACTTCCAATTGGATAAAATGTTATTAGTCTGAAATTTATTCAAGTGTCTGCTAAATTAAGGAGTATAATAATAGGGCTTGTAAGTAGGTCACCAACTGCTTATCATACTAGCCAGCTAGTATTTTTCAAACCAATTGTGAACAGAGTTTCTTCCAGGCATCTCTTCGGGGGAGGGGGGGGGGGAGGGGGGCACCTCCCCCCCCCCCCGAAATTTTTTTACCCCCCCCCCCCCCTGAACGAAATGAAATTTATATAATTTATATAGAAAATATATACTTTTAACAGTGTTCGCCCCCCCCCCCCCCCCCCGAAAATTTCAAGTGCCCCCCCCCCCCCCCCCCCGAGAGAAAAGTCTGGAAGAAACACTAAATGTGAATATGTTTATTAAATCGGTAAAAAAAAAGAAGTAAAAGTTACTTACGCTATTGTTAAGTTATTTAAAATCGTAAAAACTGATAATGATAGTTTGAAAATTCACCTGACCCTGGCTAACGAGATTTCAAATTTTAAGTCAGAGAAGCAAAGAGACTTACAAGCCCTATTTTATGCACGAAAGTAAAACAAATACAAATGAACTATTTTTCTTTTGTTCTTCAACCTCTGCAAAAAGTATAAAACAAGGACATAAACTATTGAAAGCTTAAAATATTTTAATGTTGTGATTTCTTTCCCCTTCTTCAGCTAAACTCTTTAACGCCAGAGAAAACTGTCGTAAGTATTTTATTAGTAGGTAATTTTAAACGAAAAAAAGACAATTGAATGCAATCACATTGTAAATATTAAATCTCTAGACACGACCGAATTATCTTTACTTCAATGGTTCTTAACCCCACCATTTTTATATGCGCATTCACCAAACCCTTTTTGATAGGAAAGCAAATGATTTTTTCCCCTCAAATTCAAAAAAATTGGAATATATTTTAATTGTGCTCCGCCTCCCGCCCCCCCCCCCCCCCCCCATGATGGCCCATCCCAAGGAAAATCTACCCCCCCCCCCCCTGCAAATCATGCGAGTATGCTGATGTCTTTCGGAGACCAATTCAGAAACAGTGTTTCTTCCAGACTTTTTTCTCCGGGGGGGGGGGGCGGTAAACTTTCTTCGGGGGGGGGGGGGCGGACACTGTTAAAAGTATATATTTTCTATATAAATTATATAAATTTCATTTCGTTCGGGGGGGGGGGCGGTAAAAAAATTTCGGGAGATGCCTGGAAGAAACTCTGTTCAGAAATAGTGGCTTCAGATAGGCAAGTGTCACTCTCGTCACACAGTCTGTTCCTTTTCTTTGTCTCTTTGTCCTACAACCTCGAAAATGATGACTGACAAAGATATGTTGTCACAAACGGTATGAAAATAGCCAGAGCTGTCTTAGCAATAACTACTGTACGTGCTAGCTTAGAGTAAGGTTTGTATTCGATGTTTTCAGCTATGTGGATTGGTGGAAACCTTGACGTCGTTGGACCAAACGCTCGACTTGACACAATCCCCTTCCAGGTGGACTCGCCTCGCCAGATTGACATGACCCAGTTTAAAAAGTCCTCCGGATGTTTCCAGGCTGTGGTCGACGAATCAAACATCGCCGTGTTCCCTAACCCAGACTGTAAAGCACGTCAAGGATTTATTTGTGATTATGGTAGGTGAAACGTATTGGACCATGAGTTATTTTATATAGTGCTTTTATTTGAGGTTTCTTTTTAGGAAAACAAAATAAATAAATAAAAACAACAAGAACCTATATATATATATTATATATTGAATTATATTTCTTTCAGATAATACCAAAACAAACAATTATGGTGAGTAAATTAAATCGTTTTGTTTTGTTTTTACACATTTTTAATTTATTCTTAAATTGTATTATTTAACATGTCTTTTTATAAACGAATGATGTTCCTAAACTTAAATCCTACAACATAGGCCTTGATAGATCTAGATAAAAAATATACTTAAAATGGTAAGCTTTCCACTTTTAATGCTTCAGGTAATTACTAATTATTCTTTTTAAACGCATTCTGACACTAACATCTCAACAAGTTATCTGAAGTAATAATTCCTTTTAAATTCCTCACTTTTCTAGCTCACCAGATTAAAACATCTAAATTATTCTAAATCTAGTAAATTCTATTAAGTCTTTAAATAATTTTTCTCCAGATCCAAATGATTTCAAGTTCATTAAGGAACTATCTAGCCAACAAGAAGCTATTGAAAAATGTAAATACTTAAACAGGACACTGGCAGTATTGGACAGCATTGGTCAGCTTAACAAAGCTCTGACTCTCATGACGTAATTTCTTATTAACTAAATAAGTTTATGTTTTATTAAATTCTACAACAAATTAATAAATGTCAATACATGTAGGCCTATTTGCAGATCAAAGTAAATGTGTTGTGTTAAGTCATCATGATCATTTCTCTTTTATGTCCAAAACACATGGGGCAGATGAAGTAAAGTTTATCTATTTCAGTGACCTTGGCACCCATGGCATATAAAGAAAGTGTGTCCAGTAGTAGCCCCCCCCCCTCCCATGCCCAGCTGCCTTTGTTTCCTTAACATGAGTTTGGTATCCATCAGAGCTCAGTGGAATTAGTGATATCCTACTGTTCAGTCCTGAATCTTTTGCTTAAGCTGTCATGAACTCTTTTATCAGGCCACACAATCCTATCCTTTTTTGTTTTTAAGTAATAAAGGCAAATACATTCACAAGTAACAAGTCAATTATAATACTAATACATTTATACCCTCATTTAAATATTATATTAATAGATAAAATGAACTAAATTATATTTAAAAGTGATTTCACTCTTCTTTAGATCGAACGCATTCGTCTACATGACCTATGATAAACTATCGGGGGATTTTAAATGGGGAAATGGCATGGCTTTAAGTAGCTCACTCGGAAAAGTGGAGAGAAAGAGTGAGTCTATCCTGCATTTTTCCATGTTGAAATCACTAAAAATCCAAGAACAAACCTGTGTTATACTTAACAAGGCCAACGGCAAACTGCAAGAACAGAGCTGTGTATTTAAAGCTGCAGCTCTATGTGGACCAATCAGTGAGTTTATATTGTTATGACTGAGTTAATATTAATATATATATATAGGGCCTATATATATATATGTATGTTTATGTTAATCTTTTATATATATATATATATATATATATATATATATATATATATATATATATATATATATATATATATATATAATGTATATAAGATGAAAATAAACATACTTCCCTACTTGTTTTAAACCATTACCTGGTATACTTGTATACTTGCAGCTAACTCAGTACCTGCTGGTTACACTCCATATTTCCCTACTGGTTTTAAACCATTACCTTGTATACTTGTATACTTGCAGCTAACTCAGTACCTGCTGGTTACACTCCATATTTCCCTACTGGTTTTAAACCATTACCTTGTATACTTGTATACTTGCAGCTAACTCAGTACCTGCTGGTTACACTCCATACTTCCCTACTGGTTTTAAACCATTACCTTGTATACTTGTATACTTGCAGCTAACTCAGTACCTGCTGGTTACACTCCATACTTCCCTACTGGTTTTAAACCATTACCTTGTATACTTGTATACTTGCAGCTAACTCAATACCTGCTGGTTACACTCCATACTTCCCAGCCACCACTGTTCAGTCTGTGACTGAGCTCAAGAAGCAACTCATGAGAGATGGGCAACAGGTAGACTGCTTATATTTCTTCATCCTGTTCTGAACTTATATTACTGTTTTCAAATACTTATATCACATTGAATTGATTTAATTGACTACCACAACAGCGATTTCCACAACTGAAAATAAATTGGCCTTAGGGTATCTATAAATAATGTCATGTACGAGGCTGGAAGGATAGTTTAAATAATTAGGATAATGTATTATAGGTGTAAAGGATTGATAGGCATCAGCCTCTCAAGAACCATTCAGTTGGTGTTTGTGCAATTCTATTCTATTTCTAGATCTAAGTTTTTATTTTGTTTTATTATTTTAGAGCATTTAACATGGTACAGAATTTTGTTTTTAAATCTAAATAGGACCAGCTCTGTGCAAGTCCATTGGTTATAGAATGCAGTGCTTTATCAAATGAAGGCCGATGGGTAACCAACTTTGACCAACAGGGCACCACCATAACATGCAAGCCAGACTTATTCTCCTGCCTCAGTGGACAAGAACTTAACTGTAAAACCTTCCGCATTCGCATCTTGTGCCCACAAAGTAAGTTTTAATTTGGTTTATCCTATTTTTTTAAAATTCAAAATTATTTTAAGTATTTTTTTTAATTGTGCTACTTCTTATTAATTTTGTGCAGCAGGTTTATAGGACTATCTATGTTTTTAAAAATCTGCCATTTAAAATTGTTAGAGAAAAAAGATGATTCATAAAAAAAATTTCTGATACTGTTCGATTATCAAATAGATAATCTATTTGTATTTTTTAAAATAGTATGTCTGACATGAACACCCTTATATTAATAGCTTACCTTTTCTCAAATTCAGCTAAAAACCAGTGTACAGAACTTGCCAAATCAGGGTCTACACCTTGCGATGGAGGTAAAATGTGCATCCCTGCACCTAATCATTACATTTGTAAATGTCCTCTTGGCTCACAGTTTAATGAAAAATCGCAAACATGTACAGGCAAGTTGTCTTTTAATTTGGGAGATAATAATATTCAATAATTTTAATTACACCTATCTATTAGTGCCTTCTGGTTCAGAAGAAACTAGATTAAAAGTTCACTAGGCATAATTACTAATTATTACAAATGGGCCTAATCTATTCACTATTGTTTCATTAAATGTTAAATAGTTCAGATGAATTATTAACACACATGTTTAGAGTTCCCGGAATTTAAAAACTATTTTAGCCCAAAGGAGTCAACTTCATTGATTCTCAGAGGTACTGCACATTGTATATTTTACACCTTATGATTTCATTCATAGGGTTGGCAAAGAAGTGATGTCTTTCTTAAAAGGTTAAAAAAAATCAAAATAGATATTTTTTTTAACAACTGATAAGCTGAAATGAATTACTTTAGCAAAAAATTTGTAATCATTTACAAGGATAAGAAATTTCTTTTTTCCCTTTTATTCTCTACTATTTTAACCTAATACTTTTAGAAAATTTTTAGCTTTTAAAAAATAGTTGTACTACCCAGCTGAAAACTTTTAAATATGATTAGGCTTTACCACCTAATAGAACTGACCTCTAAAACGGTTATAATTCTATATTTATTTTCAGCTTACTGTGGCGAGTGTATGGCTGTTGGTGACCCTCACTACACAACCTACACTGGGGCTAAGTTCGACAACATGGCTCTCTGCACGTATGTAACATTGCAACTGTAAACTAGTACTCTTTTTTACATTTGCTTAAATATACCTAGAACATACAGCACAAGCAATTTAAGTATTTATTTATCTGTAAAAGAATTGCCTGATTTATATATTATTATGTTTGTTATTCATTAAAATTAATATTTTCTATTACTTTTAATTTATGATTTACTTTGCTGAAAGGCATTTTATTTCATTACTACTAATAATGAAATTACCCTTCTCTAGATTATTACTGTTTTCTGTACTATTAAGCAATAAAAAATTTTGTTAAAAAAATCCAAAGTGTTCCTAATTTTTGTAGTTTTAAAAATAAACCACTGGCTGACTGGTGGCTTTACAGCGATGAGTGACATGGGCATCAACACGGAGAGTTGCCTCCCTACCTAACAACAACAACTTTCTTGCGTCCATTATGTGGCAACTCAATCTTCATAGCCAAAGATCCCATCAAGCTTTATTTTAGATCAGCCACTAACCATTCTGACAAAAAAATTAATATAACAAGAACCAGAACATGTGTAACCTGTTACAATTCTAGCCAGAATGTAGTAGACCAAAACAAAAATCATAAAGTTTGCAAAACTATATTTTTTAGTTATCAAAACTTTCCTTTTTTCATTTGTCTTACAAAAATTGAATAGTTAGTTATATCCAAAACTATATTTTGTTATTTAAAATTTTTATTTATATTTATTAGTTTATTTTAAAAAATTAATGTATTTTTTTTCTCAACTTTTTTTTTTTATTTACAAAAATGTTCTTAGCACCCAATTTACTGGCACCTGTCCTTTTGATAAAGATGGGTCAGCGGTCTCATACCAGGTTCTGACAAAAAATAAAATCTGTGGAGGTGGTGGTGCATCTTGTGTTAACAAGGTCCATATCAAAGTTCAAAAACTTCCAGTGACAGGAATAAATGGAGTTCAGCTGAAAGAGAACTTGGATTTCATAGTGTATGTTGGTGCTAAATCCTATATAGTAAGTGTTGTTTTGTTTAGCTAAGTTAATTATAAACAAATGCTAGTTACAATAATATTGTTTTTGTATTAATGAATTTAGGATTTTTAAAATGCTACTTAGCCTTGTGTGGTTTACAAGTAAGATTTTTTTTTCTTTTAAAATATCCAAAAGCTAGCTTTTATGTGTCTATATTAGTTTGACTGTCTTAAGTATAGTTAAAAATAAACAGGTAATGAAATGATTCTTATTGCTTGGTTGGCAATATAGTTGCTAAAATTAGGTTGAAATGTTTTGAATTCAATTAATCAAACCCTCTGGCAGATAAGGCTCGATCCCTTCCAACACTAAAAATTAAGAACGAAGAAGAAGAAGAAAGAAAATAAAAATTATGTAGTTCATCAAGCCTCCCCCCCCCCCCCCAAAACTCCAGAAAATTTAAGTGTACACCCCTAGAAGTTTTATGTGCCCCCTCCAAGAGAAAAAGTGTCTGAAATTAAAGAAACCCTGAAAACACAAGAGAGATAGAGGGTTATTTATTATGTTAATCAATAAATGTACAGAAGTCTTTGAACCAATTAAAAGAAAAAAAGAGCTTGGGTAATATATTCACATTATTAAATTTATGACTGGTTTAAAAACCAATAACTCATGAAAAAAAAACTTTTTTTAAAAATCCTGCAGTTGAACGGAAAAACAATTAGCCAGACAGATTTCACGAGGCAGGGTGTCTTCTCTGCAGTTGTGAGACAGGGTTACTTTGAAGTTCTCATCCATGCCATTGGTCTGCAAGTTGTCCTCAGTGATAACAAACTCAAAGTCATGGCTCCAGGTAGTCTACAGTTCATTGCTACAAATATTTGTTTGGATGGATTAAAGCATACTTTCTCCGAGGCATCTCTATTATTTTTAGTTTGATTATGTCATAGACTTATGCCTGCATAATACTATAATATTTCGTTCTTTATCTTTACATATATGAATTGAAAAAAAATTGTTTTGTAAATAGAACAATACAGACAAAAAATGTGTGGTCTATGCGGCGACTGTGGGTCAAAACTATTTAAACTCAAAAATGGAACAGCTATCTCTGTTAACTATAATAATCAAATCATGGGAATTCTAGCCAATGAATGGAGAGTTGCTGATGAAGATGACAATGCTGATCAGTAAGTCAAACTTCTTTAGACACCTGCTCACTACAATAACATTATTACTGAATGTATGAGATTTTGAGATTTTATATTTTTCATATAGGAGCTTTATGCATAGTTGATTACTTGATCAATATCCTACATTGCTTTAACCATTACAGATTTTATCAAAAAGAGACCTATTTATAGAGTCATTATTAAGACTAATTTTGGTGAATATTTTGAATCTAGTTCTAGATTACTCAGTAAACAGATCCTAAAGTTTATGATTTGAGAAAGTAAATTTACTTATAAGAAATAATTTAAATAAAAATAGAGATATTATAATAAATTTCTTACAACTAAAATATTTTATAGGAAGCTAAGGTTACAAATAAAATGCTAATACTGGTTGCATTTTGTGATTCAAAAATAGAAAATTGAATGATTTTGTTTTACTATAACCTACTAATTAGAATATATTTTTTTTCTTTTGCCTGTTCAGTGTAATTTTTAAAAATCTTTCATTTCTTACGGCAGATGTCAGATCCTTAAAACTACTCCTAATGATGGCTGTACTGACGCTAAACGTGCTGAGCTTGCAAAACCTAACCTCTGTGGTGTCTTTAAGGACAAAAGCAGTTCAATCCAAGAATGTTTTGACAAGGTACAAACATTTATAATTGTCCAAGTAAAATATCTTTTTTCACTTTAACTAAAGAAAAATGAACCAAATTTTTTTTAAATATAAAATTTATTAAGACTGAGATGGAGCCTAAACCGTATTATGAGGACTGTTTGTATGATGCATGCCGCCAAACTGACTCCCAAGAGGCTGTATGTAACATGGTCAAGGCCTTTGCTCAGGAGTGTTTAAGTAAAAACATTATTTTAAACTGGAGAACACCTACATTCTGTCGTGAGTTGTTGGTATTTTAATAATCATGTTGTGTAGTTTTATATTTCATAGGTTTAGCTAAAATTGTAGGTTGGGTTCGTGCGCTTTTTTCTAGATGTAATCAAAACAGTACATTTTAAAAGTATTTTTTTATAAATTCTTTTTAAAGTTTTAAAATTAAGAATTATTTAGCAGGTATGCCTATGTCTAGGAAGACTACAAGCAAATAAATAGTGTAAGATTAGGGTAGAGGACCAATGCTCCAAAAAGAATAAAAGAGGATTAGTCTAAATATTTAATAACAAATAATATTTTTGAATACATTTTTAGCACGCGTATGTGGAAATGGAAAAATCTTTAGGACTGATGTGTCATGTGAGCCAACATGTGGAAGATCTGTCGTCTCACAGACAAACTGCATGGAGGCCCGTGAGGAAGGCTGTGCTTGTCCAGCTGGCAAAATGAAACAGGGAGAAGATTGTGTAGACCCCAAAGACTGTGGATGCAATGTTCCAATGAAAAATGGCACCGTTAACTGGCACCTGCTTGTAAGTCTCAAATATCTTCTGTTGAACTTCCCAAATATATTCTGTTAAGCTTCTTAAACTGTTCATTAACTTTCCCAAATATCTACACTGTTAAACTTGGCAAATATCTTCTGTTAAACTTGGCAAATATCTTCTGTTAAAAATTTCCATATATCTCCTGTTTAACTCCCCAAATATCATTTTACTTCCAAATTCTCTCCTGTTAAATTTCCCAAATAAAAATATTTAATTAATTTTAAAAGGAGAAAAATTTCTCATTTTAAAACAAAGAAAAAAGTTTTTAGTGAGCTACTTTAAAGAAATTGTTTTTCTTTTTTTGAAAAAAAAAATATTTTAGTTATTAGAAATAATAATTTCATCAATCTACATTACCTATACTAGCAGTTCTAGGATAATCTACTTTAAAAAAAAGTATTACATATAAAACTGAATTAAATTGTAATAAATCAGTAAATTTAGAAAGACAAGTCCTGTACTGTGACATGATACCAGGGGTCAACCCATGATTAAACCACCCATCACATTCAAAGCAGATGGTACCTTGCATGAGGTGGAACTAAAAATACTTAGAGAAAACCCAGATAGCTGGCAAAAGATCTGCCTGACTTGTGAGCATTGCTCAAGCCAGTTAAGCTCATATAAGATATAAAGGGAGATAAAACATCAAGAATTTTAAAAAATATTTATTTACATTTTAAACATTTTTATTTATTTAAAAAAATTAAAGATCCTTTGAAAATGAGCAATATGCTGATCAAGAAAAAAGGCATAGCTCTTCCAGATACAGGTTAATAAGTAATAAGTGGTTGGATCAACTAAACAATGCATTAACCAAAAGGTTGGCTGGTCATAAGGCTGACCAGACAATACGGATTTACAATCAAAACTAAAAATGTGTTATTTCCCTTTAGCCTGAAAGCTCTGTGCTTATGCCTGAATGTAAAGAGACAGCTGTGTGCTACACTGACGAAATTGGCAGCAGCAAGGTTATTTATAGACCATTTAACTTAGACCAGAATGCCCTGTGTAATTCCAACATTCCCCCTTCTGTTGAATGTGCTAAGGGATACACAATGGACACAGATGGTGTCACTTGTAAAAGTAAGATCAACATTTGAAAATAATATATGTCTTTGCTATGTTCATTTCAAAACATTGATTAAAGCATATTATAAATTAAAAAAATAATTTTTTATTCAATCCCGATTTACATTTAGGTTATAGAATGTAAATTAAGTAATTCTCTTATCAAATCTAACTTTCACATCCATTTTAACTACTTTTTGTTGGTTTATTTTAAAATTAATTTTTAGACCTATTTAGAATTCTTGTATCCATTTTAAATTTATATTTCACATATGTTTTGGAGTTCTTTACTTAAATATGTCTATGTATTCTAAGTTCTTGCTTTTTTTAAGTATAAAAAATGTTACATTGTTAAACTTCGTTTGAAGGAGATCCAAAGATATGTTCAAGATCCTATGAAAATATAAATGGACTCTGTGTCAAAGTCCCAAGTGAGACTAATGAATGGAGACTTGCATTAAAGGCCTGTAACAAGGAAGATGGAACTCTTATTTCCATTGACACAGACCACAAGTTGAATACCATCAAAAACATTTTAGCTGATAGAAAGATAGGTATGTAAAGGAATGTTACTAGAAAATAGAGAAATAGATAAACAAATCTAACTATTTTAGATGATCACAATAGAAATGTAAAAAGGCATACTCCAAAATATTGAAAATTAAAAACAAATAATTTAAAGTTTGAATTAAGTTTATTTCCTTTCTGAGTACAGTAGAGTCAATAAACTCATAATTAAGAATGCTAAAAAAATATATTTTAATGTAGCCTTACAACTTTTTAAATATACCAGATGCACTATAACAATTTTCAAACTAAGCTTTTTTTTTTACGTTAATGTTAATGACTTATAATTTTGCTGAATGGAAAAACTGATAATAAAATTACTTTAATTAGATACTGGAATAGCTTTTATAAGATTTGGGTTTAATTGATACACTCCATTTCAGCTCAATTTCATAATTTTTATTCTTAATATATTTACACAATTTCCTGTTCAATGTGTTATTTCAAAATGTGTCTATGACAAAAAAAAAATACTTTCAGGTCCTGTCTGGATTGCTGGTAGGGTGGTGGCTCGTAAAGGAGCTCGTGGAAACATCTATTTCCAAAGTGTCTTGTCTGACAATGACAAGGGTAAAATCGAGGTGGCCAACTACGATTGCCCAGACAACACCTTAAGAAGAATTAAACTCTCCCCTGACATCAGCCTATCCTCCATCACACAAGATGGTTTGGTTCTTAGTGTTATGATCACCAAAGAGGGGGATGCAGTGGCTGTTCTTTCAACTTCCAAAGCTACTCCTGTTTGTGTTTTAAGTAAGTGTGAAATATTGATATTTTGGAATATGATTGGTATCTAATTTTAGCTAGGGAAAGTAAGGTTGGTTGGTCATAGTGCTGACCACACAATCCTCCCATATGCCACGTTGAAAGAAACAGATAAACTCTTCTTAATTTAATCTTTTTACCACTAGGTATAAAATGGCTTTTTTCATGTAAGCCACTTCATCTCTAATGTAATTTCTTGAGACAGCAAGGAAGATTTAAAATCTTGCTCTTAATCAAGTTATGACTGTTAATTTTGTGTCTACTGTTTAGTTGTTTTATAATAATTATTTTATAGCAATTGTTTCAAAATATTTAGATGTCTAACTTCAGTAAACAAATAAAATAATCATAACCTGCCTAATGAAGAATGAATATTCCCAATTATAGGAGAAGTTACAGATAATCAGACTCAGTGGTTTGATAGCTGTAACAATGATAATAACATGGAAGATGGTGACCAAGAAACTCATCACAGTATGCTCATGGTAAATTACATGATTTCATTCTCACCTATTTTTACTTACCTGATAATCCAAGATTTTTATATTTTGTGCATGGCAATCTGCCCGGTGTGTACAATATATGCAGAAAGTAAAAGCAATTAAGCATAGTGCAGATCACATTCCCTTATTACACCAAAGTTGAGAGTACAGAAAAATTATTTTTGCCCCACAGATCATAACACTTTAATTTTAAATACTTCGACATTATTTCTGTTAGCATGCTAAGATTATTTTTTAACTTGTCATGTCAGTATTTTGGAAATTTAAAACAACTTTGAAGTATGCTCGCAATATTTTTGTTTTTAGCTAACAGCTTTAGAATTTTCTAAATATATTACTAGTGGTAATGGCTGTATTTTTGGTATACAGTCTCCACTTTGTATTTTCAATAGTTAAACTATCTTGGGGCTGAATTGTTAACTTAAAGTGGCTTTCTTGCTCCATGCAGAATCCAAACTGCTTGGTCTGTCTTAACCCTATGGATGTGCGCTGTGTTGCCAACCCCAATCCAAAAGTTATTGGGTCCATTGAAGGGGACTGTGCAAATCGTGCTGATGGTTTGTTCTACGACTGCAATCAAGGAAGAAATTGTGTTGACAAAGGTGTAAGCACGAAATGCACAAAAGGTGAGAAATTATCTTGTAATTTTATCAATCTAGAAATACTTACCAAAGTATTTATGTGACTTCAGTAAGTGTATCAATCATTAATTTACCCATTATATATATATATATACTAGCCGTCCCGGCCAGGCCCTGCTCTGGCTTCTGTGAAAAACCTTTCTGTTAAAGACCATTACCTGTGTGTTTAGTAATCATCATAAACCCGGCATTGCCCACCCAAACCACAACCAACCAAAACCAAAACAACAAAACGCAAACATAACGCTAACACAATTACAAATACAAACGAAAACAAAAACCTAACAACAAACCCAACCACAACCACAAACACCAATACAAACACAAAGAAAAAACAAACAAAGAAGCAAACGAAAACAAAAACCTAACAACAAACCCAACCACAAACACCAATACCAACAAAAAAAAAAAAAAAAAAACAACGAAAAAGCAAACGAAAACAAACCAAATTCAAACGCAAAACCAACCAAAAACACAAATACAAACCCAAAAAAAAAACACAAACAAAAACGAAAAAAGAAAGAACAAAAACGAACCAAATCAAAACGCAACCACTAACGCAAACCCACCTAAACACAAAGAAAACACTAACGCGAACATAAACGCCCGGGGCGGAATCACCTGTTTTAGCTTAATGAACGACTATAGTACCCCAACTTATTCATAGTCTTTTGCACTCACTTAAACGAACGCGCCTGTTTCAATTTGATGAACAATTTTAATACTCCAAGCTTATCCGTAAAATACCTACAACATTTGCACTTGATCAATCCCCGCTAATTATGTAATTATTTTTTTTTTCCCAACACCAAAACAAAGTAATTAAAAAGTAAATTATTTTCGACTAATGCAATGGTTTTATAAAGGGAAGTAATTTTGTTTTCCTAATTTATCAAAGGGAAGTAAGTACTATAGGACTAAATAAAGACATAATTAGAATTTTTGTAAAAGACGATATTTTTTTTAAACTTGTGTTTAATGAACATGCCGACAATTATTACTGTAATTTGAAAAATGAAAATGATTTCCCAACACTTTCAATGGTAATTTTTTAGCTCATAAATTTAGACAAATGCGCACGATAATTTTCTAACACTTAAATTCATACAATTCCAACGACATACAAATGCATTACATACAGAACTGAGCTTTATATATTAGATATATATATATATATATTTATATATATATATATATATATATATATATATATATATTCATATATATATAATAAAAATAATAAACATATATATATATATACAAATACAAATTATATACAGATAATCTATATATAGTAAATTGTATGGAATTATATTACATTATAGAAATTAAAATGTCTCAATTGTGTGCTTGACACTAAGATTATGATGAGTGCACTACTGGACTCCATGATTGCCCTGCAAACTCTGAGTGTGTAAATACAGTGGGTGACTTTTCATGCAAATGCAAACCTGAGTTCCCACTCATGGTCAGGGGACAATGCCAGAGTAAGTAGTCACAGTGTAGGCAACTGATTAATGCATGGGATTTATAATTGCTTTTTAGAATTACATCCATATTCAATGTTTATCTTCTTCTTCTTCTTCTTCGTTCTTAATTATTAGTGTTGAAGGGGATCGAGATTTATCTGCCAGTGGGTTTGAACTCGAGACTTTGTTCGAATTTATCAACCATGAGCTTTTTGCCGACTCGACCACGCCTCCAACACAATTAAGCGTTACGTGTCAACTGGTTATGCGCCATTGAGGCCATTGACTCCGATTTCAGCCTGCTTTTCTTTTTGGATTTGCTTCCATAGCCTTTGTCCCACCAAGAACAAACTACAAGGCAGCAGTTGTTTAATTTTGGAGTTGTCTCTCCTAGAAGAGTGGCTGTCCCCAGCTAACGAGCCTCATCTGCCCGAGGGTTCGAACTCGAGACTTTTCGGTTTAGCAACCATGAGCTTTACTGACTCGACCACGCCGATTTGTTCAATGTATCCAAATCAAAGAAACATAAATTTATGTCTTCAATTGCCTGAGATTTTTATAAATGCAGGGTTAGAATTAAGTAAAAATTAATATGTCGGATTTATCCAGGCTAGCAAAGATAATGAAAATTTGTTATAATTTATGACCTGTAGGCTTCCAGAGGTGTGTAATGCAAGGGCCAGCTGCTCCACTTGACTATGTTTATAATATTCAAACTTTGTCCGGGAAGGAAGGTCTCTTAGATTTCACTTGTAAATTCAAGTTGGCTACCCTGTGTGATCAATGTAAGTTGTCATCATTATTATATAACTCATTTAATGTACTCATTTAGGGTTTAAATAATTGGCTTTGTATTGTGTTCTCTATACATTTATTGGAGAAAAATATGGCTGAATATATTTAATCTTAAACTACTTTTATATTTAAAATTTAACTCACAGAAACTTATCCTTTTAAATTGTTTTGGTGATAAATTACCAATAAGAACCTAAAAGTTAACAAAAAGCAAAGTTCAAGATGTTTTAAATGTACTCAACAGACAAGGCTTCATCTGGACTACCATCAATCAGCATCTACATCCTGAGCACCAGGGTGGCAGGTGCCCTACAGCCTTACTACTCTGGAACCTGTTATAACCCAGATAATGGTGTTGTCAAAACCTGGGCTGTGACCCCTGACCTTCTAAGACAAGGTTACATAATGGTGAGACTTCTTCATGCTTTAAGTATCTATTTATTTATAACAAGTTCTAATTTTTTTAAGTTTAAATTCAATGCTTGAAATAAAGTTTGTAAACAAAATAAATTCTACAGGCAATAAAAATAAATAGATTTACATCATTCGGTTTTAAGAATTCAATTAGGTTAGATACCATTGAGAAAATGCACAACGCTCTCTGATATTGCATCTTTTTTAATCACAAAGTCTAATAATTTTTTGACCATTTAAAAAAAATTTCAGCTTGGCAACAGTAATGCCAACTCTGTGCAGACTGCCCTTAGCTTCACTGACCCAGCTACCAGTGTCAGTTATCAGTTTGTTGCCCCTGGTACTCTTATCATCAGCCATCAGTCTGGCTTTTTCAAGGTCACAATTACTGCAAACAGCATCCGGGTATGTTAGTATAAACAAACACTGATCTTTCTTCATAGCTACACATAGGCATATATATATATATATATATATATATATATATATATAGATAGATATATATATATATAATTTATTTATTTATCAACATCATTTCCCGTTTGTGCCCAATACACACGGGGCAGATGAAGTAGAGTTCATCTCCTTCAGATACCTTGGCACTATGCCAATATTTATTTATATATATACCCTAAATATATAAATATTTTGTTTTCTGTGATAATAGTGGATCTAGTTCAACCTTTAGTAGTAAAAGAAAATTTAACATTTGCTTTCCTTCATCTTAGACCGAGTTCTCAGGAGAGTACAGAGATAAACTCTGTGGTGTTTGTGCAGCTTCATCAGTTAGCTCTGGGGGATTCCTTGAGCTCAGTCAATCAGAGCTTCAAGAGGTTTCAGTCTTACAAGAATCTGTGTAAGTTTGTTAAGTGATTTGCCCTTGTTTCATGGTACCAACTTTGGTTGTAGGCCTATACTCCATTTAGTATGAAGAATAATACAAACATTCACAGGATCAAAGTACAATGTTGAAAATTAAAATGTACTTCAAAAATCTACTTAGTATTGTTACATTTGCAAACATTTTGCTACAAAACTTTTTTTTAAAGGCAAAAGTGTTATGAAGTTAGGGCTATAACTGTTAACAACAGATTTGATCCAGAAATCAATCAATTACATATGATGGTCTTAAACTCATTAGCAAAATGAGCAGTTAAGTGTAGCAAAGCGAGTTTTTTTGTGTTGACTGAAAAATACCTACTAACATTAAAATTAACGAAATCATTTTATAAAACAATTATTATCACGTGTAAAATAATTTTTTTCAGATGTGCACCACGAACACCAATCCCAGCTCTCCCCACTGAACCACATGCCCAGACAACTGCATCTCCTACAACAGGATCTATAACAACTTACCGTCCTCCACAACATCCAGATTTATCTGCCAACCCTCAACAGCATCCAGATATATCTATCAACCCACCACAACATCCAAATATATCTACCAACCCACCACAACATCCAAATATATCTACCAACCCTCCACAACATCCAAATATATCTACCAACCCACCACAACATCCAAATATATCTACCAACCCTCCACAACATCCAGATATATCTGCCAACCCACCACAACATCCAAATATATCTACCAACCCTCCACAACATCCAGATTTATCTGCCAACCCTCAACAGCATCCAGATATATCTATCAACCCACCACAACATCCAGATATATCTACCAACCCACCACAACATCCAAATATATCTACCAACCCTCCACAACATCCAGATTTATCTGCCAACCCTCAACAGCATCCAGATATATCTACCAACCCTCCACAACATCCAGATATATCTACCAACCCACCACAACATCCAAATATATCTACCAACCCACCACAACATCCAGATATATCTACCAACCATCCACAACATTCAAATATATCTACCAAACTTCCACAACATCCAGATATATCTTCCAAACCACCACAACATCCAGAAAAATCTACTAACCCTCCGCAACATACAGATATATCTACCAAACCTCCACAACATCCAAATATATCTACCAACTTTCCACAACATCCAGATATATCTACCAACCCACCTCAACATCCAGATATATCTACTAACCCTCCACAACATCCAAATATATCTACCAAACTTCCACAACATCTAGTTACATCTACCAACCCACAACAACATCCAAATATATCTACCAAACATCCACAACATCCAAATATATCTACCAAACCTCCACAACATCCAAATATATCTACCAAAACTCCACAACATCCAAATATATCTACCAACCCACCACAACATCCAAATATATCTACCAAACGTCCTCAACATACTGATATATCTACCAACCCTCAACAGCATCCAGATATATCTACCAACCTTCCACAACATCCAGATATATCTACCAACCCACCACAACATCCAAATAAATCTACCAAACTTCCACAACATCTACATATATCTACCAAACCTCCACAACATCCAAATATATCTACCAACCCACCACAACATCCAAATATATCTACCAACCCACCACAACATCCAAATATATCTACCAACCCTCCACAACATCCAAATATATCTACCAAACCTCCACAACATACAGATATATCTACCAAGCCTCATCAGCATCCAGATATATCTACTAACACTCCACAACATCCAGATATATCTACCAACCCTCCACAACATACAGATATATCTACCAACCCACCACAACATCCATATATATCTACCAACCCTCCACAACATGCAAATAAATCTACCAAACTTCCACAACATCCACATATATCTACCAAACCTCCACAACATCCAGATATATCTACCAACCCACCACAACATCCAAATATATCTACCAAACCTCCACAACATACAGATATATCTACCAACCCTCCACAATATCCAAATATATCTACCAACCCACCACAACATCCAGATATATCTACCAACCCTCCACAACATCCAAAGATATCTACCAACCCACCACAACATCCAGATATATCTACCAACCCTCCACAACATCCAAATATATCTACCAACCCTCCACAACATACAGATATATCTACCAACCCTCCACAACATCCAAATAGAGCTACACATTCTCCAAAACAAACCGATGTATCAACCCATCGTCCAAAAAAGACATATTTATCAACCCATCCTCCACAACAAACATATTTATCAACCCAACCTCGACAATATTTAGATAAATCTACCCATACTCCAATATATCCAGATAAACCAACCCATGATTTATTAACCCATTCCCCTCTACATCTAGATAAACCAACCAATTCTCCACAAAATTCAGATCAATCAACTCAACCTCCAAATCAAATAGATAAACCATTCCCTCTTCCAAAACAACAAGATAAATTATTCAATCCTTCACAAGGTCCAGAGGAATTGACCCAACATCCACAATATCCAAATAAACAATTCTATTCTCCAAAACAAACAAATAACTCAAACTACGCTGCACAAGAATTAGATAAATCAACACATCCGCTACTAAAACCTAATAAACCAACACACCATCAACAAGATGCAGATAAATCAACTCATCCCTCACCACATCCAGATAAAACAACCCATCCTCCGCAATATCCAGATAAATCAACATATCCTCAACAAGATCATGATAAACCAATTTATTCTCAACAACAAACAGATAAACCAACAAATTATCCACAAAATTCAGATCAATCAACTTATCCTCCAAATCAAAAAGATAAACCATTCCTTTTTCCAAAACAACATCCATATAAATCATCCAATGTTTTACAACATCCATATAAATCAAACAGTCCTTCACAACATCCAAATACACCAACCTATCCACAACAACCAGACCAATCAACCACACCCAGAGCAATATTTCCAACCTACCCTGATGATGTCAGCACACGAGGTGAACCACTAGAGCCGGTCACCATACCAACCGTGATCACAACCCTTGCCCCAGACACCACACAGTCAACCACCTTGTCACCAGATGAAGATCCTTGCAGCTACCAGGCTATTGATGACTGCAATGCTCTCAACCTGCTTTGTAATGTCCCCATTGTAAGTTACAAAATTTAATTTAATTAAGTAACCTACTATTTTATTAGACCTGCAAGATAGTAAGTTTGTGTTTTAAATATTAACAAATTAAACAAATTGTTTTTTTGTAGCCTCTCTTTTTAGTAAGACCAAAATATAGTAATAGTAATATTTGCCATTTTCAAAACAAAGTTGTAACTTTTTAAATAAAGTCTCAGTGTAATAGATAATATAGTCAAATGAAAACTGCTATGTAAATAATTAATTACAAATATTAAAAATAAAATATCAATATACTTTTTAAATGTCATGGTCTAGAACAAATGCAAGGCTGCAATTTGTCCTGGCACCCAAGATTTGTGCCAGTATTTGGTCTCACAACAGTTCACATGTAAGCAGACAGATAATCTAAAACTTTTTTCCAAGAGATGCAACAGTAAGTTTCTTCTTTATTTAATTTTGGGTTTTTTTATATCCTATTTAAAAAAAAAGTAAAGACTTGATAAGGCCCACTTTGTTTAAATATCAAACGTCAATTTTGATTTTAAAACATATTTTTAGAACTCTGTGGTGCCAATATGGAATTCAAATACACATCCAGAACAGACCAGCCATCTTGTGCCAAACCCAGCAAGTCTGACATGGTTAGCCAGAACGCCAATGATGATGTAGGCTTTATCTGTGCCTGTGAGGACGGTTATGTCCAGAGCAGAGCAGAATGTGTCAGGTTGTCAGACTGTGGCTGTGTCATGCCCAGCGGAAAATATTATCCTGTAAGTTGTTTAAAAGAAAATATTATCCTGTAAGTTGTTTAAAAGAAAATATTATCCTGTAAGTTGTTAGGTCTAACAAGAAAATATTATCCTGTAAGTTGTTAGATCTAACAAAATATTATCCTGTATGTTGCTAGGTCTAACAAAATATTATCCTGTAAGTTGTTTAAAAGAAAATATTATCCTGTAAGTTGTTAGGTCTAACAGAAAATATTATCCTGTAAATTGTTAGGTCTAACAATATATTATCCTGTATGTTGCTGGACAGAAAATATTATCCTATAACAACGCTGTATATACTAACTATATAATTCATTCATTTATTTTTTATAATACTGTAACTGTATAGTCAAAACCTTACATGTTTGTTCTTATTGGATCAATACTCCATTTGTTTTTTATCCCTGCAGAAGAAGTATCAAGGTGGTTATTAATTGACGACAAAATAATCTGAAGCTGCCACTTATAACAAAATTAGCTCTTGTAACTCTGGCTCACATCAAGTTAGCAGTTTATTTTTTATTTAAAATTCTATTCACAGGCTGGTCATCAATGGCGTTCAGCCAACTGCGCAGAACTCAAGACATGTTTGGGTAACAACAATGTTGACGTGCAGGTGTCTTCCTGTGGTAAAAACACTGAGTGCACCAACACTGAGAAAGGACCTACGTGTATATGTAAGAAAGGATTGTTTGGTAACCCAGATATGCCACAAGGCTGTGAGAAAGGTGAGGTCTAGAGATTTATTTTTTTTCTAAAGATTTTACAAATTGATTTAGTATTATTTGTATACTGAGGGTAAATATAATGGCATTGTTTAAAACATTATTTAAAACATCTTTATTATGTTATTTAATTTATTCAAAAGAATAGAGAAAAGTTATGTTTGAAGATATTATTTTTGTCACCATCTTATATATATTGTTACTAACTCACTAACAATTTTTTTTTTAAATGCTACTATGAACAGCTCTTTAAAAAATTGCTTCGTTTAATAATTTGTTCTACTTTTATTTTAAATACTTTTTTAAAAATTTGAGATGTTTGTACAAAAAATAAACATTTATCAGGTGTTGTCTCCCATGATGGTAGCAAAACCTGCTACACCTATGCTACACACTCTGGTGATGAGGAAAGATGTGACTGTAACATGGGCTTTGCCTCCAACTGTGAGGAATGCTTGGGTAAATACATAACATTTCTCCTTATTATTGAGGTTATTTTATTCCATTTTTGCTTTGGCATTTTAAGTTATGAAAACACATAATGTCTGGGATATTTTATAATACAAATGTTACAAAAGGAAATTTACATGTTTGAAAAAAGTTATGTTGAAGATATAGAAAAATTTAAAAAGTTTTTTTTTTTTTTTGGTTTAAGTCTGGAAGAAATCTTCCATTACAAATAAGTTTTTATTGCTTTATTTAATTAAAAATTAACTGCTTATAAATATTGTAAGACCAGCATTTTTGTTAACTTTAAATTTAAAACTTTAGACATGGACGAATGTGCTGAAGGAACCCATCAATGTAATCTGGCCTATGAGAAGTGTGTCAATGTACCAGGTGGTTACAGATGTGACTGTGCTGATGGCTACACATTCAAGGGAGGAAAATGTGTTGGTAAGAGTTGTCACACAATAATAGTTTACCTAAACCTTTCTTATTTTACTCCAACTTTTTAAATAAATTAGAAATCTGGTTAATCAGCTATACAATCATTTTAGAAAGAAAGAATATTTTATCTTTATATTAGTAATGCATTATGTATTTAAATGTCTTTATAAAAACTTATCTGGAAACCTATCACAAGGAGGATAATTCTTCTTAGGGGACATATAAATACAATATATTAGAAAAGTATATACAATTGTGATAAGTACATACATTATTCATGATACAACTAAATTGGTTAATTCGTCTCCTAAATCTTTTGATTGTGCAATTTTGAATTATTTTTTTTTAAATTTCTACTTGTCACATTATTTTACTCCTATTCGGAGATTAATAAAATAAATAAACTCATAACAATGTACCTGCAGATCTAGATGAGTGTATAGAAAAGCCAGGTATCTGTCGTGAACATTCCCAATGTACCAACAAGGTTGGTTCATATGAGTGCAGCTGCTGTGTTGGCTACTTATGGAACCCAGTCTCAAAGAGTTGTGAACGTGATAATGCCAGTAAGTATAGCATGACAATGTCAGTAAATATAGCATGACAATGTCAGTAAGTACAACATGACAATGTCAGTAAGTACAACATGACAATGTCAGTAAATATAATATGACATTGTCAGTAAATATAGCATGACAATGTCAGTAAGTACAAAATGACAATGTCAGTAAATATAACATGACAATGTCAGTAAATATAACATGACAATGTCAGTAAATATAACATGATAATATCAGTAAGTATAGCATGACAATGTCAGTAAGTATAATATGACAGTGTCATTAAGTATAACATGACATTGTCAGTAGGTATAACATGACAATGTCATTAAGTACAACATGACAATGTTAGTAAGTTTAATGTTTCAAATGTTTCTTTTATTGACTGTTAGTGGAAAAAATAAGGTAAGAAGCTAAAAATAAGAATTATAAAAGGGAAGAATTAACTCTTTCATATTGATATTTTAAGTTTCCTAAATTGTGCAGCTACATTCTATCATTTATTTTCACCTCATAAAGTAGTTCTCTACACAAAACTATTATTATAATTTTGACACAACTTGATTCTGTATCTCAGTTTACAGTAAAGTATTCATTTTAAGTTTCCTTCATCAAGGTAGAGAAACAAATATTGTCATGTGGTTAAGTTCTACTAATACTACAATCCATATTTATGTTTTTTTTTCACTTACTCTTCAATCATTATCAATGTCATATTAAATTTTTTGAATTAATTTATAGACCTACTCTAAATTCTAAACGAGTATTTTGTGTGGTTTCAACAGGTGTCCCTGACCTCCCAGAGGGTGCGGCTTGCTGCGCCATCTGTAACGACGCTGTTCTCTGTGATGAATCCATCAGCAGCCCAATACCTTATTGCTACACTGATAATGGAGAGAACAAGCAGTACTCAAGCTACATGAAACTGTACCAGGATCGATGCATCAACAATCAGCCATTTGATGGAGACAAATTATTGAGAGGAAAATGTCCTGCTAAAAAGTCTCCTAAATCAGCCCCAAAGAAAATTAGAGGTGAACTTTTAAAAAATAATACATTGTATGGTCAAAATAAAACCAATATAAACAATTTTCCACATTAAACCAAGTTAAAATTCTGATCTTGGCAATATTTTACTTTAATCTCTATAAGCCTACCTACCTTCAATCGGTTACCCAACTAATGAGAAGTAATGTAAATAGTGTCATAGTTGTACAATTTTGTAGATGATTTCATTTCATTCACTCATAAATTTCTAAATTAATTTGCTGTCTTAATTTAACCTGCAAATATATCTTACATAAAAAACATTTTATTAATTTGTTCACTTCTTAAGCTAAAAACTTTTTTTTGTGTACTTATATCTCACCAATCAAAAAGAGTGTTTTCTGAACCTAGGTAAACCAAAAAAACCATCAACACCAGCTCCATTCCCAACTTCCTGTGATGCTCCCTCACTGTGTTCAGCCTTGCCACCTCCTCCTCCAAATCTGGCCTCAGGTAGGAGAGCTCTTCTTTTTCAAGAAACTTATAGACTTTAATAGAATTTTAATTTAATACAAGGAGAATATAGTAGGCTAATGGGTTCGTGGATGTACATCTTTCAATTTCTAGGTCCAGTTTGTGGTCCAGCTAACTCACAGACCCCAGAGAGCTTCCCATCATACTGTGACATGGTTAAAGCTGAATGTAAGAAATCAGGAAATCCTGCGGACTTGCCAAAGACTTCACCAATAAAAGCCAACCCAGGCAAATGCAGTGGAAGTGGACATGGGTCACCAACACCTCTTCCACGACCACGTAAACTATTTACTTAATGTTCATTGAGCTAATTAGACAGTTGATAAACTAATTTAGGTAACATTTTTCTCCATTTTGAATATTTGATCTTATTGTTACTAAAGAAAACTAAATATTCAAACGCTGCATTTATTTAACTCCTATAATGCAATGCTGTTTGGTAGATTTTTAAATACTGAAATAATATATTTGATATTCAAAATAGTAACTATTTACCCCTGGTTCAAATATAATTTATAAAACTTAAATAAAAACAAAAATGATTTGGTTTTTAGGGCATTAAACTGACATGTTGATTTTGCTCTGTTTTGTTTTGTTTTTCCATGCAGTTATTACTTTTTACTAAAGTTGTTTACGAGATAAAGTAATTTTAATTGTTTGTACTTTGAGTTAATTTTAATATAGAATTTAAAAAATTCCATATTGCTAATTCCTCATCTCTTATCCTACTTCTCTAATTCTGATTCTCTAATCCCTTATTTCTAAATTTCCTAACATGTAATCCCCAGCTGCGGAACCAATCTTCACACCCTGGACCCCCTACAGTACCTGCCAGCTTGCTGTACCAGGGGCTGAGTGTGGTGTGGGTATACAGATCAGAAACAGAGAGCTGGCACCTTACGATGATGGTAGACCAGTCAGAAATGTCAATCACTTTGAGCTCAACTCCAACAGAACCTGTTATGTTCCCTGTCCTAAACCAAAACACGGTACACATTGTTGCATACATCTTCTTACATTTATTTTCAATATAATTACATATATTGATCTCAATATAATATTTAACAATACATATCTGTTAATATCTATATATTTAAAGAAAAATACTGCACAATAGAATTAATACATTGGGCTAATTACATGTATTGGCATCATCTATATCAAAATCATGTTAAAATTCTAAAGAGTACTGTAAATAAAATAAAAAGAATATTTTAACATTGTATATTAAAATTATGGCTGCTATGTTATTTCACACTGTTAAGCAAATTGTGATATGGGCTTACATAAAGTAATAATCAAATCTATTGAGCAACACGTGGGCGAATATCCATTTGTTAAGATAAACAGACGTAACTTTGTTCAAAGATATGTTTAATTTCAACATTATTTGTTGAGTTTTAAATAAAAATAATATTTTCAACTTAACTATATATAACAACATCTTAGAGCTTAGGGGAATCCTATATTTCTAATGTAATCTTCTAGGTCAGCCTGCAAGGTCTAACTGTCCAGAGACCAGTTTCTGTAATGCCGTTGAACCTGTCTGTGGTTCCATTGGCACAGGCGCTGCCAGCCAGTTCAAGAGCGAGTGTAAACTCAACGTCACAGCTTGTCAGAAATCTGATGTACCTAACAAACTTTATGCTGGAGACTGCGATGCTGAAGACAGTAAGTTATTTGGATATTTATCTGTCTGTATAGGGTTTGAAGACAATTGCATTTTGATTGATTTATGTTCATTGACATTTTTTAGAATAGTAAGATTTATGTCAGTTTGTTGGTAGATAATTGGTTTGAAATTCATTTATTTGTGTAATAACATGTGAGGCTACTTCAAATTTATTTTATTTCTTAATTAGTATTTTGTTAGAAGCTGGGAGGAGATTGTAAAAAAAATTTCTTTAACTTCCAAGAATTAGTTACATTTTTAAATTAAATTCAGTAATAAGTTTTTTTAAAATTAATTCAATTTCTTTCTATAGGTGGAGCTAAGAAACGTTACTGTGAAGAAGCTGGGCCTGTGGATGATCTGATGACTTACAATGTAGAAAAAGATGGCCTGCACTGTGTTGGCCAGCCAGTGAATGTTGGTAACTGTGGCAACCTGCTGTGTAGCGGGGCTGAGGGCACTTGCTGTAAGGCTGTAGAATACGAGAAGATTCAAGTGGTGGCTGAATGCTTTAGCAAAGCCACTAAGAAGTCAGTTGATCATGAGAAACATATTGTAAGTATTGCATCCTTTGTCTGATTGTGTTTTCAAGTGTATAAATTTGCAAAGTATCTTTTAGATAATTCTACAGTACTGCTCCCAGCACTTTTGATTTTAATAGTTCCTGTTACATTAAACTAAGGCAAAATATAAATGTACTACCTAGAGCTAATGAGCTTAGAGCTGAAATCAATCCTAGACTATTGAGGAAAATCAACAAAAAGTACTTTTTTATAATTTGTTCAGACAATATTTGTCTGAAATTTTTAAAAAATTATCCTTAATATTTTAAACTTTTATTACCTAGGAGCAAACATTTTGTTAAAAAGTAAATTGCAATCTGCAAAGTAAAAAATGTAATATAGGCCTACTTTTCTTTTCTTCAGTATTTCTCTGCCACTAAATGCAAGTGCCAATCAATCAAACCCTAATGTAAGACTTTTTATTGGAGGTTTTACAAGAAGTGGAAATCAAGATGAATTTCTGAAAAAAATTATACAAATTCCATCAGTTAAATAAAAATTTCAAAGCTAGAACTAGGAATATTTATTTTTTTGAGTAAAAATTACAAAAATGATAATATTACAATATAACAGTTAAGGAAGTTGCCTGGTATTGGACTGACAAACATAAAAAGTTGGTAGAAAGATAATTCGGCTTGGAAAGGGCTAGTGCTTAATAGATGGTAAGTTAATAAATGTAACAGAAGTTTTCTAAGTATTATGTTAAAATAAAAAAAACTAACAATTAAAAGGAAAATAAAGATAATTACAGAT